AGCAGCAGCAGCAGCAGCAGTACTACTACTACTACTACTACTACTACTACTACTCCTACTACTACTGCTACTGCTACTGCTACTGCTACTGCTACTGCTACTGCTACTGCTACTGCTACTGCTACTGCGACTACGACTACACCGACGACGACGACTACTACTACTGCCACTACGACTACAGCTACGACTACTACGAGTATTACGACGACGACGACGACTACTACTACTACTACTGTTACCAGAATGGCTCATACTGCTAGTTCTCGTGTCTGTTGCAATGTTTTGGTTTCTAGTTCTCAGAAATTTCAGGATTTCCATTCCTGTGTTTCTTGAAACTTCGATGGCGCAGGGACAAGATCCAGGTGGCGGGCATTCGAGACCATCACGAAGCTTTGAAGGCGTTGCTTGCACGCACAAGCTGTGCCAAGCGAGCTGTTGCTAAGCAAGCTGAGGACAGGCTGCTTGCCGAGACTGCAGAGGCTGAAAGGAGTGCGAACCAGGCGAGCCGGTCTGCTGTGGACGTGATGAGCGATAATTTGAGTTTTAATGGTTTCAGATCATCCAGGCAAGGAAGGACGCCTGGAGGGCAGAAGAGGGCCTTTCGGCAAAAACTCGCGTGCGCAGCCTCAGTGAGCCGCAAGGCAGTCAGTGAGAGTTTCGCCTGTGCTGCGCGGGATGTTCGCTTCTTCAAAGCACAACGCCCTAATTAGACCGTGGCATGAACGCAAAAGAACGAAACGGCGCAGAACAAGTCCAAGAGAACATGGAAGCGAATTCGCGGACACTTTGCTTGTTGCTAGCGAAATACGTCACAAGAGACAAAGTCTGCCGAAGATTGGGGCCGTGGCTGTGGCACTGCTGGAATTGGTGGTTTCGACATCCAGCTGCCAAGCCAGCTCTGTGGCCGTTTGCGCAGTGGAAAACAAGCAAGTGCTTGTCAAGGAAACACTTCGCGACCCTCGCGCACAGAACTGCACCGAGACTAACGGGATCAGCCCATCCCAGCCTCTCTCGCACGGGCCGACACCATGCAAGACATTGCGGTCGTGGCGCGCCTTCGCAAATCCAAAGGACATTTCTAATGTTCCGCCGAGCATGCACACAGGGTCAGGCCCTATGGATGGTGTATACGTTCTGCTCCATATTATCTTAATTGGGGACTTCAGTGAGCAGACGAGTGCAGCTGCCAGCCGCATGCTGGTTGCATTGGAACCAAGGAACTGGAGGAGGCCAGAGAACAGATACAGCTCCTCAAGGTTGCCGGGCAGCAGGCCTCAATGGGAAGCTCGTGCTCGGCATGGTCCCTGGAAACCTGTTTTTCTTTCGGTTGAAGGTCGTTGCATTCCAGCAAGAGCTGGAAGTTGTTAGGAGTGAAAAGGCAGTCCTCAGCTTAGCTGCACGACGTGTCCTGCACCTTTCTGATTTCTGATCCCACCCAGTTGCACAGTGTGTGCTCCAGGCGCTGCGGCACATGTTGGACACCGAGAAGCAGGCGAAGATGTCCGTACATTAGGACTAAAACGTGCCATTCAAGCACTTGCCCGGATTCGCTCGCCGCGATTCAAGCAGCTGCGTTTCAATCCCGACAGCGGTTCGAGCACTGCACCTAACAGATGGAAGCCAAAGCGATGCGCACAGATTCACTAGTTCTTGCTTTTTCGGAATTACTGTAGTTATCAATTTTTGCAAGCCGTTTCAGCTTCTCGTTTGCGCTTGAGAGGTGTTTAAAAGAAGTTTAGGAAGATTCCAGCGTCTGTGAGCGAGTCCCCCGTTCACGAATTGTGTGGATGCGCGAATCCGCACTCAGCGCACGAATCTGTGGTACATGCGTGCCAGTGCGCGAGTTTTCCGCCGGGCAAATCTCGGGTCTGGGAATCCAGGGCCCTTGTGCACGACTAGTTCTTCCAGTGCGCGAATCGAAGCTTTGGCAGGCGCACGCTCGTGCCGAAGCGGAGCTCGAGCAGCTGCAGCTTCGGCCTTGGTTCTGATGCAGAAGTGAAGACAGTTTTGGAGCAGGTCCGTTCGACCATGGTGAGCTTGTTGGCTGTGTGGCCCAGGAAAGACAGAACCCGGCTTGGTGCAGAAGTCGACCCAGCCCCAGAGCAGAAAGAACAACAGCAAGTGTGAATGCCAGCACGAGTGGGCATCCACTCAGTGTCAGGAAGAGCTTCGGAGCCTGCATGGAAAGTTGGAGGCCATGGTGGTTTCGTTCAAGGTCTCATACAGAGGGATCGAGTTGATGATCGTGATGGTGATGTTGCTCCCCTCTAACCGAAAACCCTACTCTGACAGAACATCCTCTCTAGCCGAAAACCCTCTCCAGCACAAGAGCACCAAAAAACTAAGTTTCGACAGAAGCAGCAGCAAAGCAGTAGTACTCGGAGGGATAGGAGGGATGGGGGGGGGGGCAGGAGCAGTCGCAGCAGCAGCCGCAGCAGCAGTAGCAGCAGCAGCAAAAGTGGCAGTTGCAGGAAATGTAGCAGCAGTAGCAATCGGAGTAGCAGCAGTGGCAGCAGAAGGAGCAGGAGTAGGGATACAGGTAGGAGTAGGAGCAGAGAGGAGCGTGAGGGCCCGTAGGACACTAGGAGCAGTGCACAAAGCAGCAGTGCACAAAGCACCATGACAAATGGGTAGAGCAGCAGTAGCAGCAGCAAGTCAGCAGTAGTTGCTGTCGTTATCTTTGCCTTTGCATTGTTTTTGCTAGCTCCCGAAGACCAAACTTAAACAGACAGGAGAAGCTCGTGGCGGCCGAGAATGTGCCATCGGCCCTGGTTCGGCAGCTGCAAGAAACGCGTTCGCGGCTCTCGACAGAGGTGAGGTTCCGCTGTAAACTTAGAAGCGCGGCATCTACATCTTCATTCTGGTCAAATGACGCAGGCCTCGGAAACCGAGAGACTGCGGCAGCAGCTTCAGGCACGATGCTTACCAGTGTCAGATCAGTAAAGGTGGAAAAATTGAATGCAAGTTTGGATGTCGTCTAGACACCGTTCGTCTTGAAAGCACTGAGACTCGCACTTTGCACTCTGTCTGCACTCTGCACCAGCAAGAGGGGAAAGCCGTCACCTCGCACCCTGCTCGTGCCGGTGCGACATGCGCCATCTCTAGAGTCTCTAAGAGGCGTATGAATCGCTTGAGCCGCGTCTCTCAGTCGTTCTCCACAGACGTTTTGCTTTGACTTCCGCCTCCATTCTTCCCGGACAGTGCGCAATTTGAGGTGGCAGAACAAAGAGCTGCACCACACCGAACGCCAGCAACTTCGGCCTTGTTGCGGCCGTTACAGGCCCCTGAATTGACCACAGCTGAGGTGGGTGAGTGCCCTTCAGAATCTCGAGCAAGAGCTGCATTCCCAGAGCTGTGACGATGAACATCTTGGATGTGTGCTATACTTACATATGTACTTATATATATATATTTATATATTTATGTATAGTTGTATTTTTATTGTATACGACAAAAAATGCAACCATGTGGTTGTTCACTGTGCGTTCTGTTTCCCCCCCGTGCCCTCTCTTATGGTATCCCCCCAAGTACACGGGCCTGGAGCCTTGAGCATATGTGCGGAGGTTCCAGGGGGAGGGGGACTAAAGCCGTTCCACAGGGTGAGGGGGGGGATGATTACTTGCAGAACCAGTGGAAGAAGGTTTAAACTTTAAACCAAGCCAGCCAACCAGCCAAAACATGTCACACGCAAGGCCCAAGCCGTTCCACAGTGGGGGAGCGGGGATGATACCATTGGGGGAAAGGGACCCGCCGGGGTGCAACCATGTATGTATGAGTGTGTGTATGCATGCATGCATGCATGCATGTATGCATGCACGTACGTACGCCGCACGCGATAAAGATCAATGTATTATAGGACTATGTATGCAACACCATCGTGTACACTGAACTATTTTCGCAAGAAATGCAAATCTCAAAGGCTCTGTCTGTCTAAGGATCTTCTCAGGCAGCACTCCGGACATGGAGGTTGGCAAGGCCACTGCATGCAAGCCGCTCGCGCATGCTTTTGATTGTTGCTGGGGACTTCAGCATAGAGGCCAGGCAAGCCACAAAGCTGCAAACACGACGACAGCAAAATAGCGGTTCAAAGCAGCAACGCTGACAACAACTAGATGGACGAATCAGAGTGGCAGCAGACCACAACCTAAGGACAGCTGCCACCAGGGAGTTCGTTGGAAAAAGGGCGAGAATCGCTTGTCTTTAGCTCCCCTGTGTGACACCTTTCGCAACGACATAGACGGGGTCTTTGGCTGTATGCGGAAGCTGCCAAAAGACCATACATTACCTTTCGTTCTGTGCGACTACCTGATTGGTGGATCGACAAAATCATGCAATCCTCCAAATCACACAGAGAGAGCACAAGGCTTTAGCACTGCGCGAGGTCAGGCGTTTGTTTTGGCCCTGTGCCGGGGAGGAGAGGCCTCCTACTTTAGGACAAGGCAAAAGCGCTAAAACGTCGGTGGTACGGCAACAGACAAGGGAATCGCGCTGGACGAGACGGCCCCACAAGGCATTTCCGAGTGGCATTCAAGCATAGGAGACCTCCTCAGGATTTGTGGAGCACTTACTATGCACTTACTTGTCGTCTCCCTTGCGCACTCGTTTTACTTGTGGTCGCTCAGCTGCTTTTGGCTGTCTCGGCTACTTTGCTAGACCGTATGCATCATCTCCATGCTTTTTGTTTGCATATAGTCATAACGAGCAGGTCTGCAGCAAGAGTTTTGTTGACCTCTTCTGGGAGAGGTGACGAGGCGAAGCCGCGCGCTGGAGGAGAGAACTCTCCAACTCGAGCGGGAGATCAGCGCCTTTGAACAGCGACACAGGTGCGCGGGAACATGTGGAGCTGTCTGTAGGCTCGTAATTAGCCTACAGTTTCAACCGGTTCAGCCCAGCAATGCAGGACAAGGAGACGGGAAGTTCCGTGGCAACAATCTTACACTCGCAAGGAGGTGTAAGGAATGTGCCATGCGAGTGATGCGCCTTTGGCTTTCAGGTCTGACGACGAGTCCGAGATGTTCGCCGAGGACCGGGTGATGATTCTGGTAACGAAACTGGATGAAGGATTCCAAGTATGCCCGACACCGACAATGGCATACACAACGCAATGAGATGATCCGTAAGGGGTATGGTTTCTGCCCCTCGCTATGCAGCACGAAAATGAAATGGATGATGAACGAAAATTTGCAAAAGTTTGCCTGGGTGCGTGGAGGAGAGCTTCGTTGGGTGGAGCTCCTCCACAACCCGTCCCCCCCCTGCAAGTAGATGCAAGTAGAATGAGCGAATAGGAGAAGGGCAGTGACACCTGCACGCACATGTCGCAGCTGGCATACACATCAGTGTTTGACATTTCCCGTCGTTCCACCGGAAGTTGCCTTTGAAGGGTTTTTTCCTCATTGAACTAATTGGGGTCGCCATGGGTCGCCCAAAACTTGGGTTTGGCTTGAAGTTTGCCCAAGCTTGGGAGCCATGGGAGACCGACTTTGCTGGAGGAGCCGCTTCAGTGGGGAGGTGTGCCATGGTGTGCGGCAGCTCCTCAGCCGGCATTGCCATTGCAGACTTTTGCATGATGGCTTTCCTTCTGGCATTCCGCTGAGGCATCGTTCGTGACCGAGTCTCAGCGATTGCGGGACGAAAGCAGCGAGCAATTCCACTGCGACAAGGGATCTTACCCGAAGTGCTGGAGACGCCAGCAAGTGATCGTAGTAGATAAAGTCGACGCGCCTGACGGTCTCTAAGGACACCGACGCCTGGCCGTCCCTGCGCCTCCAGGGCCTCGACGGAGAGCTCCTCTGCTCCCCAGATCTCCCCAGTGCCCGAGTTCCCCTTTTTGGAAAAGCTGGCCTTCTGCAGAGGAGCACGAGCTTCTGCAAGGCAGGGCACCTGCCTCAGAGAATTCCTCCAAAGGAGCAGACCTGGCAGAAGGTGCGGTGCCATCTCCAAGGCTCCCAGAGGACGAGTGCCACTCTCTCGTACTTCAGCACACGTGTGGCTCACGCTAGAGTTCCAGGAGAGCCAGAGGACGCTGATGCCGTGTGGCAGGCCGGATGCCTGAAATGACTTCGATGATGCAAGTGCAGCCGTTCCGGCAATTTTGAAGCCTGCTCGATGCCCGTTCCAATCGAGGCTTGCATCTGGGCACAGACCACTCCCCGCAGAGGCGCCGAGGGACAGAACCGAATTCGATAAAAGAGAAAGGCAGGGTGGCAATGCCTGGGGAGGAGATTCTGAAACAGCAAAAACCACTAAGTTCGAAGCCAACTGGAATCAACACACAGCGCCCCAAATCGACTTTTATTTGACACGGAAGCAGTCACGGAAGACAATTGACAGCCAGAGACAGGGTGCTGACTGGGCTCCGATGACTCCTCCGTGGGGCTCCAAGTTTAAAGCTGGTTGCGAGGTGGGTGTAAGAGGCTTTAAGCCTGCTCATGTCAGTGGGCTCAGGCCGGTCCTGCAGCAAAGGTGCGCTGCATCGGACATGGAGGCCCCCAGAGCACACGTGGGGAGACTTCCCGCTTTCCGTTTCGAGAGCACAGACCAGGCTTACGCCTTAAGCACCATCTTCTGAGTTTCCTTTTTATTTATGTGTTGTAGATGCTGCCGACAGGCTCCGCCGAGAGCTGCAGGCATGGGTGGAAACAACGTTGAAGACAGTCAGCTTCATACCATCAACTAATGGCCCGTTACTTTGCCATGTGCTCGTAGCATGTTTCCTTTTCAGGCCCGGCAGTTGCAGCACCGAGCCGGGAGGACTGCAACCCATTGCTAGAGGGGATGTGCGATTTCTCGAGTCGACTTCGTGGATGCAAGGACCAGTCTCCACCGGCACCGCCGTCCACAGCGTCCGCAGCTCACAAGTGTACCAGCACCAGATGACAGGGCACTCCAAAGTAAGACTAAGACAATCAACTTGCAAAGAGCCTGCAGCCAGTAGCAGGCAGATGACGACTCCGCCTGTGCAAAGTGCTGTGCCAGCTGCCTCTGCGACGCAGGCCAACAGTGTTACAGACAGCACAGTTTGCAACTTAGGGTAGTCAGCAGAGCCGGGCTGATTTTGCTCCAGCCTCCTGCACATGCTGCATAGTCGTTCCACATGGATGGAGGCAGAGCAAGGTCCTCCCCTGCTAAGTGGTTCTTCGTGATGCCAGCCGTTTGTCGTGTAATGACTCAGTCCAGTTAGATGTCTGCAACAGGCCCCGCCGAAAGCTGCAGGTGCGGATGCAATGTCATACTGATGAGTCAGCAGCGGCACGGAATTTGGCCATTGCTCATTTGCTTGCCGTGTTTGTCAGGTGCCGCAGTCGCAGCACCGAGTCGAGAGGACCGCAACTCGTTGCAAGAGGGACGTCCTTTCGCGAGTCGACTTTATCGGCACAAGGACGAACCTCCTCCGGCACAGCCATCTACGGTGTCCGGAATTCAGCTCAACTCAACAGAAGTCAATGGTTCCTGGAACACTCAAGATAGCAGAGATGGCAGGCCACGCCAAAGTAGCAGCACAGGTCCCAGTTTATCTAGCAAAGATGCAGTCAGCCCAGGCCCTCGACTGCAGCCGTGGAAGGCAGTGTGCCAGCCGACTCTGCGACGCAGGCCCTACTGCCTGTTGACTTCATGCAACGCTTTGTCGGAACTGGTTCCATGCTTGGTATCACACTTTGCACGACTACAGGTAAGGGAAGCGGAGAATCGACATGCCCATCCGGTAGTGCTGTCGTGGTGAGTCCATCACTTTGTCCCTGCGGTGCAGAGACCGTTGACACCATGAATACTAATCCGTGACTCTGCCACTGTCTGCGTCTAACGATGTCTGACATCCGCAGCAGGCCCAGGCCAAAGCTGCAGGTGCGGGCTTCACGTGACACAGTTGTCTCGCATGTGTTTTGGGACTTCACATCGCCTTGGCTATTACTATTGCTGATATGCTCGCCGTGTTCTCAGGCCCGGCAGTTGCAGCACCGAGCCGGGAGGACTGCAACCCATTGCTAGAGGGGATGTGCGATTTCTCGAGTCGACTTCGTGGATGCAAGGACCAGTCTCCGCCGGCACAGCCATCCACAGCGTCCTGAGCTCAAAAGCACGAAAGCTTCCTGGGCACTACAGAAGCACTTCAAACTCGCAACGAGCCAGGCATTCCCGTGCTGTTGCTGTGGAAAGCAATGTGGCAACAACCGCCGTGATGCAGGCCTGCAGCTGCTTTCGGCATGTACTGCATTGATTCTGAGGAAGTTTTCCGCGCTTCACGTACAGACTGCAAAGTTGAAAGATGCGGAGGAACCAACTGCTCAATTGCTAGTGTTGTAGTGAGCAGTGAGTTCATCAATGTGTCGTGATGGTCAAAACGTCATTCTCCTAAGCAGTCAATGATTGGCCTACCCGCTGACCATCTCACGACACGTCGCTAGAGTCAGTTGGGTCACTAGACATGCTTTCACACACTCAAGCATGTAGTAGTGTAGTTGCAGTGGTTCAGCGTGGTCAGCCTGTGTTCGACTTTTGATGCAGGCCACTCCAGGGGCTACAGGCACAGGTGCATTTCTTTTATCAGCTTCGCCATTTCGCCACCATTGCTTGCGAATTGCATTCACAGGCCCCGCCGCGGAAGCACAGGGCCGGGAGGACCCTAACCCCATGCAAGAAGGACTTCGATGGCTTCGGGATGCTGCTTGCCGCAAGGAACACCCTTCGACGTCAGCACCATCCACAGCGTCGGGAGCTTGGCAGTTGTCGAGGCCAAGATAGCATTGCCCGGCGCGGCTCGCGCAAGGCCGTTGGCGACTGCACCGGTGGAAAGAACTGTGCAAAACGTCTCTGCCATGCAGGCCTTTTGAGACGTTGCTCGATGGTGTTGCAAGTAGCTGCAGGGCTCGAGGGCTGCCGATGCGTTGGCACGGCACAGCATGCACAGCCATGTCGCCCAGGGGCTACCAAGAAGTCATTGCACTCAAGCATCAAGCAGTCGGATTTCGGTTTCCCTTAGGCAAGCTTGCAGAGTTTGGTCACGGCCGAGTCACTGGGCAGATGCAAAGCATGCAAATTCCCATGCGCTGGAAATGCACAGGCTAGACGCGCACCCAGCGAGGGTGCGGAGCCGGAGTCTGCCGATGAGGCTGGAAGAGCCGAGTCTTCATGTCTGCGAGTGCTGGCGTCAGCTCAGACACCGTGACGGCGTGGCAACGCAATTTGTCTTAGATTATGCGAGGTGCAGGACGTTGCCGATGACAACGCTCGGGTCAGTGAGGCTTCCGGCCTTGCAAATGGGGCGGGCTCCTGCACTGTCCTGAATTGCTGGAGGCACGAAGCGATGCATCGGGTGAAGATGCGATCCAACAGGCCGCACCGCACTGTATGAAACACGATGCGCAGTGCCAGACTGCAACCGCCATATATGATCCAGGTTCGGCCGTCC